CATAAAGGAGAGTTGCATGTGCATACTGAGAGACTACACTGATTGCAGGGCTAATCTACCACTTCACTCCATACACTTTGCCATCACAGTAATCACAGTCATCCCACAGCAGGAGTATGGCAAGTACATGGAAATCAAGCCTAGTGAGTTCTTTTTTTATAGTAATGGTCTCGCAAGTGAGATTATTACTGCAGTTCCTACAAGACTGTCTCTAGGATCATTTGATAAAGAGGTGCTTTTACGGAGATGGAAGGAAGTTAGTAGACAGTACCTTCTCTTTAACCCATACACCCTGAGCAACATGCTGCTTTAGGTTACCAAATCTCCTACATGCTCTTATCATCTGAGTCAGCATCTGAGAGTACTGTGTTGGTTTGACCAAGAGGATTTTACTGTGAATCTGATTTTCCCTTATTTTATTATAGCACCAGTACCACATGGGGAGTAACTATTAACCTTGGCATCTCACAGAAGCACAGCAAGAGAGCATCCAGGACCTTACGTAGCCGGATCCCTAGAATTATGAAAACTAAAATAACAGTGTACATCCAGCTAGGCCAACCAAAGGAATTTTTTTTTCACTGACTATCTGCAAACTTTTTATGAACAACCAAACTTTTTTTACTGACATTTTACATAATGTAAAGGGAGTGCAAAGTACAAAAATATACACTTTATTAAGCGCAAGAGCATTTTAATCCCCTCTTCTCTGCCCCCAGAAGCCAGGGACTTCTTAAAATTCCTAATATTATTAAGTACAGCAATTCACAGTGTTTTGTTTCACAACCTCATTCTTGCTGTGCTCTTCCTCCAGCAGTGGGAGCTAAAGCTTCCCTGGGCACAGGACAGGGGGAGCAGGAAAATCCACAACTGTAAAAAGATTGGACGCACAGAGAGACAACTTTCCCAACTACTTCACCTGTTAATCACCTGCTTGCTTGCCTATTTCCTGTAGGAATTACTCCAGGCATGAGCTGCTGTCCCCCAAAACTTTCCCTCTCAGGAGCAGGAAGAATAGGGGTGTTATCTCCCTGCTCTGTGGTGTATCATCTATTCTGAATAGATGAGACACCACATAGGACCAGGCCCCTCACAACTCTCCCGCTGTCCAGCCCAAGTCTACATGCACCTGCCACCAGCATCAAGCTGGGCCAGGGCTCCACAGACCCTGGTGCAGTTGCTTCCTGCTTTCTGTTTGCCTGCCACAGCCAGACCAGGCTCTGGCCAGGCCCCTGCTGCCCACCAAGGAGCCCTGAGCTGCTTGCAGCAGGTGGTAGGGAGACTGCAAGCAGCTGCACAGGAGTCTGTGGAGTCCTGGCGTGGCTCATTGCCAGCAGCAGGTGCATGCACGCATTGGGGTGGACAGTGGAGAAAAGGGGCAGGGCTGTACTGACATAACAAGGATCCCCCATGGCTCCCCTGCCATCTGCCCCGGCATGCCAACATCTTCCAATTTGGTTCCTTGTAGCCAGCAGTAGGGAGGCTACAAGCAACTGCACCAGGGTCCACAGAGCCCGAGCCTGGCTTGTTGTCGGTGGGTACACACATGCCTCCGGGCAGACAGCTGAGGACCATGAGAGGCCCAGCCCTTGTTGTGGCAGTGTGGTCCCAGCTTCTTCCTTGCTGTCTGCCCCGAGGCATGAGTGCCGAGCAAAATGTCTTTGTGTGCCACATTCAGGCATGCATGGCAGGGGTTGCTGACCCCTGGTCTACAGATTGCTCCTCCCCTTGTAGAATATGGCAGAGAGAAGTCTACTGCTGCTGTTAATGGGCTGTGAGTAGCCCCCCCTTTTGCTACATCTGTTGCTCCCTGACCTGGTGCAGCAGCAAAGAGCTCGGTCCGCCCCTCCCCATAGCAGCCGCAGACTTCTCTGTGCAGGAGGCCTTAGGGAGGAAGTGGAACATATGCAGGTGTAACAAACTGGACAGGAGGGAAGGAGAACTCAAGCACAGGATGGGGATGCTCCATGCCCTACCTGCTTTTCTCAGGACACACTCCCTGCCAGCCGGACATGCCCTCACCTGCCCTGCCCACCCCCATCCTGC